GAGCACATGGTGGAGAAGACTCCTGATCACACAGTGGCAGGGAAGCAAAGAGAAGACCGTTGAGGCTGGAGTCCCAGGGTCCTCTGCGAAGGTACCCTCTCCCCAGGACCTAACTTTCTCCCACTGGACCCCTCCTCCTAAAGCTTCTGCCCCCTGTGGTTCTCCTTGAAGTGCAGGCCTACAATATATTACCTTGGAAGACACCTAAGACTCAAATCATAACATTTATTTCTGAGTAAAGGTGAGTGGGTACAGTAGAGGCTGATCTTTGGTGGTCAGAAGCAGAAGTCCAACACTTATAAAAGGTTTTGAGTTTATTAGTTTTCCTGCCAGTTTCTTTATAATTGCTTTGTCTTTATTAATCCTTTTTATTGTCTTCTCTAATTTATCTTTTTATAACTTCATTTATTTTTATTCTTCCTGTTTATTAGGAACATTAATATTAAGAATTTATTTCCTTGAGGGGCCCCTTTTAGTAGGTACCCCAAGTTCAGATGTGCAGCATAGGCAGTATTTTCATGGTCATTATTCCTTAGATCATTTGCAGTTTTTGTCTTGGTTTTCTCTTTGACTAAGAATTGTTCCAGAGATTTAAAAGGTTTCAAGGTGGTAGAGTTTTATATTTCAGTTTTCTGATAATGTTGTTAACTTTTAGTTACATTGCATTATATATAGTTATCTGCACTGTGTATAATTTTTGAAAATGTTTGAAGATTTCATTATAACTTACTATAGTCATGTGATTTTACCATAAAACTTAGTAAGCAACATATCATTCATTAAAGGTGTAGTGTTAATTGACCTTAAATGACTGTTATCAATATGTACATATACATTTAAATTTATAATAATATATTTATGAGGGGCCGGGGAGATAACTCAGTAGAATAAGCGCTTGCCTGGCAAGCACAGGACCTGAGTTCAATCCCTGGTTCTGCCAAAAAAAAAAAAAAAGAGAGAGAGAGAGAGAGTAGCATTTGTGAAACTATACTGTCAAGGAATACTGGCAGTAATCAGCTAGAAGAAACCTCAAACAGGCTTTGGAATCCCTGACTTTGATTGACAACTGGATTGGTTTACAAGGATTCTGTACAACTGCTAGAAACTCTGTCCTAAAACAGTTGGAATCTTTTCTAAGTGACTTTAAGTACCAAAAGTCTGAAATCTGTAACATTTGACTGAGATTGAGGACATTTCAGAGTCACTTTTCCTCCACAGGCTTTTGAGCAGAACACATTGCTGTCCAGATCAATGTCATAGTGTAAAATTTAGACATTTGTCAGATCCAGCAGTGATCTCCAAATTGGGAAAAGAATTGTTGTACTTGATCTTTACTCTGAGAACAACTAATGTGCAAATATTAATCATTGTGTTCGATATCCATTATGTCAACTTGCTTATATATGCTAGAAATATAAACTTTTGTGCACTGACAAAAAAAAATAATGTATTTATGTATGTGTATTGACTTTGGGTACCAATAGACTTTCTATGTATGTGTATAATACTATATATTTTTTGTTGTTATTTTAGCATTTTGAGAAGTAGTCTTGTTAGTTCAGGCTTACCTTGAAATGTCTACATCAGGGGCTTGCCCCTTAGCTCAGTTCTTTAAGTGGCTGCTTCAACAAAGCAGTCAGGCTCAGGTTGCTGTGGTTTGATCCCCACAACTCAAGCCAGCCAAACCTGCCCTGAAGGCATTGGGAGCAAAGAAAAAAAAGAAATGTCTACATCACCCAGGCTGGACTGAAACTCGTGATCCTCCTCCTGTCTCAGCCTCTGAAGGGCTGGGCTTATAGGTATGTCCCACCATACCTGGCTACTAAGTTTGTTTCTTGTTTGAAAAGCTTTAGTACATTACAAATGTGTGAAAGTGAGTAGCCTGTAAAACCCAAAGGTCATCTAGAATGTGTAGAATGTGAGTATAAATTTGTGAAGCTCCTAGAGTTCACTGACCCCAGGATTGAGATGAAAGGAGACCTAAGGTATTCTCTTTCTTCATTTGATTCTATTTTTTTCTTTAGAAAATATACTTAGTTAAAAAATCTAGACTAGGGGCTGGTGAGATGGCTCAGTGGTCTAAAGCACCTACTTAGAACAAGCTTCGCAAAAAAGGACAGGGACCTCGGTTCAATCCCCCAGCACCACATGCCAGCCAGCCCCGCCCCCTGGTGGACTGAGCTGGCCACACACACACACACACACACACACATAAATAAAAATTAAAAAAAAAAAATCTAGACTACACAGGCCTAGGCCTGGTGCCATACCAGTCTGTTATCAAGTGGGAATATTTTAATTGTTCTTAGGAAAAGCAAAGATGAAATGAAAATGGGGCCGGGGAGATGGCTCAGTAGGATAAGTGCTTGACGGGCAAATGCCAGGATCTGAGTTCAATCCTCGGTTCTGAAAAAAAAAAAAAAAGATGAAATGAAAAGGTAGTTCCATTGGACCTTTGTTCAAAATGTATTTTACCATCGCTACTCTAAGGGATGAATTGTAATTGGCTTGTTTCTCACCGTTGGGCTGTACATTTGTAGTCTGTGATCACAGTTCAGGAGAGGAAAAGTTGATACAGGAATTAGAGATAATGGAAATCTTGTTGAACTGAGTAAATTGGGATGGTCAAATATATTGCAGCATGACTATTGTGTTGCCACTGGGGAGAGGAGAAGCAATGGGCTGGTGACAGAAAAAACTGCCATTTCCCAAAGTGTCACTATTTGACCTTGTACAATTTTTATAGGAGGGTTGGAATTCTGTCTCTGGACTTTTCTGAGGGTCACCGAACCCCCTACTTGTCAGTTTCCCCATCAGCAAGATGGGAGCACGCCAGTATAGGCGGCCTCCCCCTATTCCCCTCCCCCTCTCCTTTCCCCTTCCAAAGCTGCAGTCCCGTGGTGAATACACATAGAGGTGCCCTGTACTGCAGGACTGCCAGCTCGTAACAGCGTCGTGAGTGCTGAACATCGGCTAAGAATAGATTTTAGGTGTAACACGCTGCACTCTGGAAGGTTGGCTGATCTATTTGCCTGACTGTAGGAATCATTTCACGATGTATGTCAAAATGCTATGATGCACATCTTAAAAATATATATAAGCAAAGAAGCATGAGAGGGAAACTTGGAAAGTAACAGGTATTGGGCCCAGAGCCCTCACGCCTAACCCCTAACAGGAGGGGCTCTGGGAGCACTGCAGGTGCCAGGAAATGTGTCCTAAATGGAGCTAGGGCTGACAGCGTCAGCAGCTCTTCATCTCCCTGTCCTTCATGGTACTGAGGTTCAAACTCAAGGCGTTCACCATGAGCAACATCCCCAGCCCTTTCCCTCTTTAAATTCTGTACTTGAAGACAAAGTCTTCTAATTCCCTCAGTTGCCCAGGCTGAGCTTGTGTTTTCTATCCTCCTGCCTCAGCTTGTTGGAATGCTGGAATTACAGGTGCATGCCATCCTGGATGTGGATTATTCTTAATTATTGGGGGGTGCTAAATGGCCACCACACCTTTATAATAGCTTTATTTGTGACGCTACTGTGTCCCCTTTCTAGCAAAGTAATGGATCTATTCCCTCTCTTTTAGACATGTATGCTTCTCTGCAGCACCCTGAATATCCTATTTTGCTGGAGGCCTGCACACTCCTTCATGCTATTTGCTTGAACTCCTTGCTGGGAGAGAAACTCCTGACTGGCTTTCCATTGGCGACTGTTCTTAGCCAAGTGCCCTGCTCCTTCCACAACGCTTATAGGGCAACAAGATGGGGAGTGAGCCTGCACCCTCGGTTTCCTGACTCCAGCCGGAGCTCTGGCCTGCAGGTTTTCTACTTGCTTGCTTCTCTTCCGCCCTGAGTGACCGACTACCCTTGTTTCACTCTTTGTTTCTATGTTTTTGCCTTTTTTTTTTTTTTTTAAGGGAAGGGTCTACAGGATGTTCAGGGTCTTACTATGAGATCAGACTCATAGTGATTCTCCTGTCGGCCCTCTTTTTTGTTTTCTTAGGGTTGCACTTATAAGAGATTTTGCTGTCACTCAGTTTTATGGCTTTGAGAAGCATCTACTTTCTGGATGTCCCAAGGGTCACGGTCAGTCAGCCTGAGCGGGGAAGGGGCCCATTCTCTATTTTCTTTTTTCAAGGCATTGGACTGGGGAAAGGTGTGAAAGTGAGTAGCGCAAGTGGAAAGCGCAAGGGCCTGAGTTCAATCCCCGGTTCTGAGAAAAAAAAAAAAGCATTGGTTCCCTCCCAGGTCCCTTTTATCGAAGTCTGGAGACCCCGGTCACTCACGGTTGCCATGTCTGCATAGAACCCCTTTCTCTATCTTTGAGGTCTTGGAGTAAGATCGAAACTAGCCCATTGATATCTGACCATCATGGGCGGGGTTGGGACGCCGCAGCCCGCCGGGCTCTCCTGGCTTTGGGCCCAGCTCCCCGTGGGGCTGCGCCGTCCTGGTCCTCCAGTGCCGCTAGCGCTAGGGTTGCACGTGAAAGGAGGCCCAGACCCCTGGGTCCCGGAGGAAGGCGAGACCCTTGCACCCCCCGGGAGCTGAGTCCAGTCAGGGCTTCTTATCCGGATCTCATTAGCCTGGCTGCGGCAGACCCCGCGCTCCCCGAGGGCGAAGGCGATCCAGACCTGGCCTCTGGGGCCCCCCGCGGCTGTGGGGCTCACGGCAGGGTGCAGAGCAGGAGGCCCCTTTCTCCAGCCCGCTTACGCCAGTGCCCCCTGCAGGCTGTCGGGAGAGACCCCAGGGCCGGCTCGCGGGGCGCAGGGCGGTGGGAGGTGCAGCAGCCTGAGTCCCCATCGCAGCTGTGTTGAGTCAAACTCCGCTACTACCTTGCTGTGGTTAATGATTGATTACCAACTACCCGGCTGCCCCAAACTACCCAGAAGGTCTAGAGGGTAGGCCAGGCCGGCAAGTGCAAGGGCGCGGAGGGGTGGGGCGGGGCGCGTGCGCGGGCGCTGCGGGAGCCCCAGACAGGCAGGGAGGCCGGCCGTTCCGCCGCTAGTCCCAGCCTCCTCTCAAAACCCCACCCCCAGCCACCTCCGGCCTCTCCCGGGGTGGATTGCTCCAGGAAGCACCAGAAGTGCTGAATTACTTTTGTCTAGGAGCTCAAGTGAGGGCGAGTCCTGCGTCTGGTCCTGGTCCCGCTGAGTTGCAGCCAAGAACTGCAGAGTTCTATTGGAAGGAGAAAGGAAAGTTGAGTCTTTGGACCAGGCAGAGTGACTGTCTGTCTGTCTGTCTCTGTGTCTGTCTGTCTGTCTCTGTGTCTGGCTGTCTGGCTGTGTCAGTCTCCGTCTCCCCCTGCCCGCCCATGGCGTCACCCAGTGGTTCCGGCAATGACTGCTCCCATATCATCGATCATGACCATGTCCCCGAATTTGAGGTGGCCACCTGGATCAAAATCACCCTCTTCCTGGTGTACCTGATCATCTTCGTGGTGGGCATCCTGGGGAACAGCATCACCATCCGCGTGACCCAGGTACTGCAGAAGAAAGGCTACCTGCAGAAGGAGGTGACGGATCACATGGTGAGCCTGGCATGCTCCGACATCTTGGTCTTCCTCATTGGGATGCCTATGGAGTTCTACAGCATCATCTGGAACCCTCTGACCACGCCCAGCTACGCGCTGTCCTGTAAGCTTCACACGTTCCTCTTCGAAACCTGCAGCTATGCCACGCTTCTCCACGTGCTGACGCTTAGCTTTGAGCGCTATATTGCCATCTGTCACCCCTTCAGGTATAAGGCTGTGTCGGGACCCTGCCAGGTGAAACTGCTGATTGCCTTCGTCTGGGTCACGTCTGCCCTGGTGGCATTGCCCCTGCTTTTTGCCATGGGAATCGAGTACCCCCTGGTGTATGTGCCTGCTCACCGGGGCCTCACTTGCAACCGATCCCGTACCCGCCACTGGGAGCAGCCTGAGTTTTCCAATATGTCCATCTGCACCAATCTATCCAGCCGCTGGACCGTGTTCCAATCCAGCATCTTCGGCGCGTTTGTCCTCTACCTCCTGGTCCTGCTTTCTGTGGCCTTCATGTGCTGGAACATGATGAAGGTGCTCATGAGGAGCAAGCAGGGCACCATGGCCGGGGCCGGGCAGGCGGTGCAGCTGAGAAAATCGGAGAGCGCCGAGAGCCGGTCTGCCAGGCGGCAGACCATCATCTTCCTGAGTGAGTCCCGGAGTGGGTGACCTTCCTGATCACCCACCCGAGCCATTTCCTGGGGTCCTCTACGCTGGAAGTCTTGACTTAGAAGTGTAAACTTAAATTCTTTGAGGCAGAAGGTCAGAGCAGAGTGCACTGTAAGGGTACTGACCTCGACCTGGGAGTGAGGGGGTTTCTTTATATGTGGGCTTGGGGCTGCGGTGGCTTATGGTGAAAAGAACACCAGATCAAGGGTCAGGAAGTCCGGAAATAACATCTCTGTGACCTCAGGGCAAGTCACACAAGATTATCTTGGGTAAAACAGGCAGGATAATAGTGGGAAGCGTGAGGGACAATATAGGTGAGGCAGGCAGGTGAAAGTCCTCTGCAGAAGGTTCTGCAGAGATAAACGGTCTACTTTGTCTCCTCTGTTCTTGTTCCAGAGAGCCTGTTTCAGGTAATTGGCTTGTGTTCCCACTTTTGCCTTTTGGAGAAACCAGGTTGATCTTTATTCCCCCTGGAATGATTCTACTGTCTGTCTTAAGAAACTGGAGCTCTTAGACACTCTTTCCCTAGGGCAGTGCTTGGAAATTTCTGCTGCCATAGTTCAGTTTCTAACCAAAGCAGACAAACATGGCAGCGAGGACCATTTGGTCCAGAACAGTGCAACTTGGCAGATTTGTGGGTTTTGGCTAACTGTCTGAAGTAACCAGTTCCCATGTAGATAGTCGTTGGCTAAAAGACAAAAAA